GAATCCGGCGAATTGTGGACCTATCGTATTCCGTCTTTCCAAAGAAATACATTTTCGTTCCAAATCTTTTCCTCTCCTTAATAAACTATTGTAACCTATTTTATTTTTCGTACACCCCATTAATCCTACACATACTCCCGTTTGATCTATCAGTGTATATGAAAGTCCGTTCCTGATGATTTGTCCTGTACTTCAGCTTTCCTTTCTCAAGCCATTTTTCCAACTCCAGATTTAACACACTTTCTGGAGTTGTGGTTCTATAGGTAAGAAGCCCCTCTTTGTCGAGTTATCAGCTGTTCTTTTCCTTATAAAACTGAATGCCCCAGAACCGACCTTAATGTAAACTTGTTGTGTTCGTAGGTTCATTAAGTAATTTGTGCACTCTCAGACTAATTTGGAGCTAAAAGCCATACCCATTTAATGATTAAATAGCTGCATGACTCGGAATGAGTGCAGAATTGAATTGCATCGACTTCAGTTTGGAAGATAGTTGAAATCATACGTAGATTTTCCCTAGGCCTATTAGGCCCCCGAAACGTGACCAGATAAGGCGGACTTAAGGATTATCGGGATTCCAATGTATGCCCAAGTTTAAATAATGAGGTATAATTACGTCACCTTGAATTTATAAACAGAACTATACCAAAACACACCACATGAACTGTTAGAAAATAAATGCAAGGAAAATAGCGATAGAATATGTGGAAGAAATAAAAGTAATGTCAATACTTGCAGGCTTTTTTCTTTGCTATCTTCTTTGTCGACTTAGTCTTGCTTTTTGGAAACTGAATATATATATAAAACTTCATTTCAAACCAGTTCAAACAGAACTACCAGGATAAAAGAGAAGTCACTGTAGGTGATTGGTCCAAACACATAGTTATTATGGACCTATTTTTATTTATAATATAAAATCGTTCTTCTAATCCAAAGCCTTTAAATGACATTCCAAATTATCTTTTCGCCTTAATCCATTATTCCATCCCATATGAATCTGTCTGGAAAGACGATTGAAACGGTGGTTGAACTTACGACGACATCCCAGGTATGAGCGACAAAAAGTCTCCCCCGACAGAGTAAATGTCTAACGAGTCGATCACTCTACTAAAGTCATCAAATCAAATTTTGCAGATTTCCTGGCTGTATAATCATGATTATATAGTTGCAATTGAAATAGAAAACCCGATAAACTTGACAGTGATGTTCCTAATCCGTTTACTGCTTGCACTCCTCTTTTCTCTTGATGTTTGTTTACTTTTGTAAGGAATAATCAGCTTTAACTAACAAATATGACTTCAATTGTTTGTCTAATTATTATTAAGATTATTTTGTGTTTTATCACGTTCAACACTTAGTACGTCAAATGTCCAAAGTCTTACTTTGCCATTGAATAAAGCAAAATTAACCTCAAACATCCAACTCTTCAAAAACCTGTTTATTTTATTATATATAAAAGAAGTGCTAGTTAGCCATCAATAAGGAACCTACGTCGTTAGTTTCAATGCGAATTGTTTATCGCCTAAAGACTATTAGTGTATACGAAGAGATAATGAGACCTTACAATTTAATAGATAGTAACGAATAAATTTGTTAAAGGTCAGTGCCGCATCAAGGGTGACCTTTAAATACCAAACTCTTAGACTGCGGGGCACTGCCATCATTTCATTGTGAGAACGCCGAAGGGTCGAATCGGCAGCCACGAATACGGTGACAACTTTTGCCTAGTACGGGATGATATTCGGATCGACAAAAATGGACGGATGTGGTGAAATGGTGCAGAAACTGGTGTGCATGAAATCTTCGGCTGGCACGGAAAGCCCTGAGCCCTGGTTGGTCGAAGCTCCCTGGTATCAGGCCTTGCAGCCAATACAGTCCCCATGTTCCGACAGCGACGTATGACACTTTTCCTATGCCCGTTTGCATGTTAAAAACGTTTATTTATTGTAGTTTCAGTTGGGATTTAATCCTTTATTTAAATTAATTGGTCAAGAGGACCACGAAAAATAGTGACCTTTATTTAAGAATAATCGCAACTTGATCCGGACAATATCCTTGAGTTCGTATTGTTGATATGATCAAATCTTCGTAAAGTCATTTTTTACTTAATAGTAAAATATCAGCTTGTTCTGTCGAATGTCCGTCACCAATTCAATTTCATCGTCTCGCACAGATATAATATTAGTTGTCTAAATATTAATTACAGCGCAATTGCGATGATTTCTCTTTTTTTAAATTATAAGCGATCTTTATTGAATTCTTGAGTAAATAACCGGTCGTATTTCACAATAGAAGACTTCAAGGAAGGCAATTAGAAAGACAGCTTCTTCAACTTAAACTACATTTTTCTAGTCTTATTATATAAATATTAGCTAATCAATTACCCTATTGCTGATTCAGAACTAATTGGACCGAACCCTGTTCGGATTAGTAGAAATTCGGATCAGCCAAAAATTGCAATGACGCAGAAGTGAAGAAACAGTCCTAATTAATTGAGAAATACACCTGGTAACTCAGTGGTCAAGGGCGTCCTCTGGTTTATCCTTGTACCTCATACATTTGTCCAGTGCTGGAGCTTTTCTTTCTCAAGCCAATTTCCCAGCTCCACATTTAACAAACTTTGTGGGGTGCCTACTTGTGGTTACGGACCCATAGGTGAGAGTGCTTCTCTCATTCGTCTAGTTGGTCAGACTGTTCGCTTCCTTTTATACCTTTATGTCCCAGAACCCACCTTAGGGTAACCTTGTGGTGTTCTCCTAGGGTTATTGGGTAATTTAGGCACTCTCAGGCTAGTTTGGAGCTAAAAGCATACGCACTTAATGCTTACATAGCAGCCTGATTGTCGGAAAGTTGTAGATCCGTGTACCCTCCATTTTCTTCAATCTAATCTTGTGCACAGAGTTGGATAACAAGTACTTCAGCTTGCAAGAGAGGTAAAATCAGTCCGAGGGGTATTTCTAGGATGTAATTCCTTCCATTAAACCATACTCCCTTTTATTCAATCAGTGAACCATATGTAAGGCCCCTTCTTGAAACATAAGATGCTGTTGCCTTTGACCAATTGGACGGGTTTATGCTGGGTTTTCCTCTAATTTTGTACCGAGCTTTATTTATTTTTATTCTCTTATAAGCTTTATCTATTTGTTATTATTTTCAAAATCATAGAATTTTTAGAGAGTTTGGTATCTGCTAGTACGAAATAAATGACCAAAATGATTGCCACATCGCCGATCAAAATTAGGTTCGGATTAGGTATGACAACATGAAAACTTTGATCTGTTTTTTGTAGACTTAATCTCCCTTTCGTTTGATGCTGAATATAGGTAAATTTATGTAGATAAATCCTAATTCTCCTGGAGAATGTTCAAGTGTACTGGGTGATTGGTCCGAAAACCAATCCGTTGATAAGAAATGGTTGGTTAGTAGCTACACCTTACACACTCCATAAAACAAATAAAACAGTATTGAATAAACAATGTAACAACAGTCGTTCCAGTAGTATATTCTCAAGATTTGAGGATCGGGAGTTTGCTCCAATGATGTTTTTCAAGGAGTCTGTCAAACAAGTATTGACACTAAATAAGACGGTAAAAATATGAATGTGTGGTTTGTTGGATTTAAGGATTCGGTGGTTAGGAAGTCCCCCAAGGCGTCGGGAAATGAGAGGTATGTCGCATTAACGGTCGTTAGAAAAACTATTAGCCTTTTCTAATTTTACGACGTTTTGAAGGAATAATGAGGACAAATCTAGGAGCTTGGTATAGGGTAGATTCAATTTTGTATTTGACGTCGGAAGGGGTAAAAGGTTCAGTGGGTAGAGAGGATGGCGATCGTATAAGGATTCTTGAAGTTGCTTGACCAGCAGGGATGGATTGGGGTAGAATCATACCAAGCAATAGGACCGACAACTGCCAGTAATACTTATTGGCCACAGCTAGACAAGAAAGATTTAACTAATAATACTGGACGTGATGACCAGGCAACAGAAATGAGGTGGACATGTGAGTGTAGTCGCCTATTCACGATACCAGGACCCTCCCTCCGCAGTAGGAATTCGGTGGTGTGGTTTGTTAAATTTAGGTGTTGGATGAACATAGACAACAGTTTTTAGACATGGACAACCTCCATGGCGTTGGGACGCAGCTCTATAAAGGATGATGGTTGGTAAAACTTGCCTTTGTTGGGGAGGACTGAAGTGGTAATGAGGTATACAAGAGCTGAAGAGATAGACTTTTAAATGTGTCAGTAGTAAAACGCTTAGTGATGACAGAAAGAGGTAGCAGTGTCGAGATTTTGTAAAGATTTTTGAAGTTGTTTAGCCAGCAGGGATGGGTTGGGTTATAAAATTTTATACCTTATCAGCGTATGTTAGGATGATGACGACGGGATAGGAATGGATGTGGTAAGACTAAGAATACTGGCAGACCTTGCTGAACGGCAAGGTTCATTTTGTATGAAGGGTAGTGAGAAGATCTGACCTTTACTCAAAAGTATGACTTGAGGATGGGAAAGAGTTTTCTTCATTTTTGAATTCAACAATCAGTGATGAGGCGGGAAAGAAAAACGTCTTAAGCAATAATAAACTCTGATGACTTTTAATAATGGAACTGTTGACGATTCAAAGTAATATTAGTAAGGTACGATTCACCATGATCTAATCGCACACTACTGTCTTAGTATGTGAGATAAAATAAATGGTAAACATGCTTAAATGTACAAAATGCTCACCATAAAGTAAGCACAGCACGTTTTTTCATTAAAATTGCTTCTTTATGTTTTGATGAATGTCCACACAACTTAGCCTGGATATATTTTATATANTGTAATGTTACTTTTATACAGGGTGTAGACAGTCAGAATTAACAATTATTGTTCGGATATATAATTTTGTTTACTTTTACAATGTGACATCCTATATAAGGTAAAACATCACAAAATCCGATGGCGGCATCGTGCCGCCTTTGCCGTTCATTTTGCACTTTGTAACAAGCATCGTCGGACAGGAATACTGCAATCTGATGAAGAGGAGGTCGAGGGACATGGAGACAGAAACCGAGGAGGAGCTGCTGCTGCTCGTCTACCCTTCGCCCACAGGCGCTAACGTTCAGATATCTTCCAGTCCTCCCGATTACGTCGAAGAGTTCGTCAGTGACTTCCCGTTCGCAGGTTAGTGCCTACAAGCATATTTTCGTATTAGTTTTTGTTTTAAGTTAAGAGGAAAGTCAACTAGCTTTGCCAACTTAGCTAAGTCGTAATTGTAAATCAGGATTTTTATAATTTTAAGCGTGAAAGAAAATTATAGCCTAATTTTTAGAATTTAAAATAGCTTTAGAGAACAAAGAATATTGAAGAGATGCATTCCTGGATGTGGCCCAGGCTTTCGAATATATCCACCAAGGAATCCTCTATAAACTTAAACACTATCTACTTGCTCCTCATTAACATACCTAGGATGCTATTTAACTGACCTTCAGAGTGAGGTACCGCAACGAGTACTCGGAACGATACAAGCAGGCGTCTCACAAAGAAGCATATATGTATATACCAACATCATCATTACCTCATACACGGATAACACCGCAACTCTGTCTTCTAAAAGCTTGAGCTTTTCAAAGTCTGCTGGTAGATAAAGTGGAGGACAAGAGTAAACGCTAAACATCAACAATAAGGAGATATCGGCTTTAACTGAAGTCATAATTATTTACCTAGATTACAGATTGACATGGTATCTCCACAAAAACTTATGTGACAACTTAACACAAGACGAATACGACAGAAAACTTTTTTGATTCCCGAAACTCACTTAACTTTATACAAAACATTAGTGAGACGAATTTATCCATATGAAGTAGATCCATGGGATTCAGCCATCCAATATCTAGCGTATCCAGTCCTAACAACCAAAAGTCTTCAGACAAATTGTCAAAGCACCTCCTTACAATTACAATTTACATGTTTGTTCGAAGCTAAATAACCAATGCTGTTCTGCTTGTGTGGGAACCGTGTTTTATCACGTTTCAGTTTGTTGATTTCCACGGAGGACTGAAAAAAATTCCCCGTTCACGAAAACATTTCCAAATAGTGAATTAACGGCATATTAAATTATTTGTTGTCTGAAGACAAACATACATTATACAGGCTAAATGAATTCAGCTTTCAAACTATTTAATAACATTTTATTAGGTTCGTGGTCCGCTTGACCAAATAAATTATTTTCAATTAATTTAGGTTTTGGTTGAGATAAATAAGTGTCACAAGCGGGATTCGAACTCCACGACCTTCGGCTAGATACACCGCTGCTCTACCACTCGACCTATCGTGACTTCGATCCACTCGGACAATAACTTCCCATCTCAACTTCCGAAATACAAAGGGAGCAAAGCCCCTACCTCCCCTCCCCCCCAATGAACCATGGGGCCGAGTTCATATGCAATACTTCACATTTTAGCTTATTCAGTCAATAGAGTTCTCTAACCTTTAAATTAGAATTTGTTTCTATTATAGAGACATATTTTTAGCAACAACCAATGAAGTTAGTTTTTCCACTATGAAGAATTTTACCAAGAAGGAGAAAAGTCGAAATTATAATCGTTAAAAATATTCCGCCATGATAACTTACTCTCTGCTATAGCAATTATAGATGTATCCACAGTAGAACAAAGAGATCTGAAAACAAAATCAAAGTGAAATTTAAGAGACGAGCAAAGAGTTCACGACAGATTTCCAAGTGCAATAAACAGGAGTAGCTGAAGGCAGAGAAAATAGTTTCCGGATAAAAAAAAACGCTGAACTTTTTGAATTGATACCAAATTTTATTATTTTTTTAACAAGTTATTATTAATTATACATATATTCAATTAGGCCTTTATATCGCTCCAAAAACTTGAGCTACATTGACTTCGCTCATGCCAAAAACTTCTCATTTCGACTCCATGTTTGTTCCAATTGTAAGCAAATCGCGGCTTTATATAGAAGCACATTTATTAAGGATTGTACTACATTAGCGGGACTTGTACGATCTACAAGTCTGATTCTAGGTTAATGCCAACGTTTATTCTTTTTTATCAGTCATTCTTAATTATACATATACTCAATTAATTATACACAATTTTTTCGAAATGAATAATTTGTGTCACATGTAGGATTCGAACCCACGACGTTCGGCTCAATACGCCGCTGCTCTAACCACTTTTCCAATTGACTCCAACCGCTGCCATCTCCAAACCTGTCAGCCATAACAAAGGATGGGAAGACAAACAGCATCGAATAAATTTAATTTCTCTTTGATTGGCACGACATCATTTAACATTAGTGACAAACAACAACAAAATCAAGTTTGTTTTATAGCCATTTTTGCCTTGGATGCTTTCAGAGCAAGATGTTTAGTCCAACTAAGTGCTGGAGTGAGAGTCACTCCAGAATATATTATTCATTTACCACCTGGAACTGCTTTCCCTGAAATGACCAACGCTCTGAAGAACTCAATTTTCCTGAGCACCATTGTCGGGCAAATTCCATTGTTGGCAGTACGACTCAAACAATTTGACATTTATTTGAAGGCCCACAGACTTATCCGACATAATAACAATATTCTCGGCATATAGGAGTAATTTAATCAGCCTTTTTTGAATTCTAATACCACGTTCTAAGACTGACTGAAGTTCGTCAATGAAAGAGCGAATAAAAGAGGACTTAGTAGGCAGCCCTGTCTGTCACCGTTCTGGACATAAAACTCTGAAACCCTCATCTGCGGCCTCACACAAGATGCAGATACTGAAGAAAGTGTCTTCACAATGTTGGGAAACTTCATTGAGCAACCAAAATTGCTTCATTTCAATATCAAACCTCTCCTATCAGCTCTATCGAAAGCGGCCTTCATAATAAAAATGATCTATAAAAATGTATACTTTTTTGCCTGAAACTATTAGATAAAACAAACAAGTTATCAATCGAAGAGGCCTTGCGGTAACTCATTTGACAGTCACTCAACAAATTGTTTATGGACACAGCACTCAGGACAATTAAGAAGCAAACCAGTAAAAATGTTCGCAATCGCAACCTAAAATAGGAAATACCCGTATAATTTTTTTGATCACTAGTATCTTCGTGCTAAAACAAGGGGAATATACTAGATCTGCCAAAAGAGGGTGGGACCAGGGGTTTTAGAATTGCAGGACGGTGCGGAAATAGCCATCAAAATTAATTTGCAGAGCGTATATGAAATTTTATCAAATTGTCTGCTCTCTTGAGCGATTTTATGGTTCTTGATTAAATATCATTTTTAGATTGCCTGACGTTTCTAAATCTAACTTTTGCGTTTTTCATTTCTTTGTGGTGAAGTGAAAAGTGATACAAATTAGAGAGAGAAAGAAAGAGAGAGAGAGGGCGAGGGAGGAGAGAGTGAAAGAGAAACTTAGAGATAGAGATAGACGGAGAAAATGTGTCTAAATAAAAAGCTTTTCAACGTAAAGATTGTTTCTTCGTGCTTTTTACGTTTTTTTGAGATAGATAGACAGATAAATAGATAGAGAGAGAGAGAGAGAAAGAGGAAGAGAGAGAGAGAGAGAGTGAGAGAGAAAGAGAGAATGAGAGGGGGAGTGAGTGAGTGAGGGTACGTGGGTCCTCTAAGATTTATTAAAAATAAGGTCACAGAAATTTTTACGCATCCGGCCAAATTTGTATTAATAAAGGTTTGTAGTTAACATATACTGGAATAAGTGGAAATAAATCACCTAATACAAATATGAAAAATCGAAATAATAGAGCAATAATAAGAATAAAGAGAAAAAGTTGGACGAATTCCCAGGCTTGTGGGAACAAAGTAGCAAAATACGAACTTAAATAAATTATGAAGGTGTATTTGGAATTCACTACATCACAAAATGTTTATTGGCCTGGAACAAAGGCTGATTAATAAAATACTTATTTTGAAATAAATCTCATACTTCATGTTGACTGACGATGAAGTTGGCCATTGGAAAATGTTTAAAATTAACGCCACCAGAATAAACTGTAAACGTATTCTCAACTTTATAATATTTATAATTATTTCCAGGTAGACCAACAGAAAGGGTAGAGAAGAGTAATAAAATCGTTGGTCGCAATAGAACGCTGTTTGGCATTGAAGGTTAGTAAATCCCACATCGCGTTCAAACATTGGTCCGCTTTGACTCTCATTCATTGACTTAACACCATCTCGCTTAGCCCTTAAAAATTTAAGTCCGTTCCTTTGGCAGTTTTTGTGACCTGTGCGCTTTAGGCCGCTTGTTTACACAGTTCGAAGAACTGTAGGCACATTTGTTATGTTTCATTTGACATGTTTAACATGGAGCTGATTCCTAATAGGATTAGTTTGCTGAAACAGAAATCCTTCTTGTTTTCGTTTATTTACTTTCCCTATCATCCTAAATCCAATTAATGCTGTAGTTTTAATCATAAATTAAACCATATCAATTGGGAAATGTTTGTAGTTTATCAACATACTAATTTCTGGCAATAATCAGTTCTATAATCAGGTTCGTCCAGTCAGCTTGTCTCATCTTAAAAGTAAAAGTTTGTGTTTTTTATTAGTAATTTCCAATTTAACACGAGAAGCTTTTTGTATAAAATTAAGTACGGAAAAAAATTTTCTTAGGAAAATAATTTTATGTGTTTTATTGATCATTCTTTGACGAATGTCACAGTTACTGTATAAAATTAAGTACGGAAAAAAAATTTTCTTAGGAAAATAATTTTATGTGTTTTATTGATCATTCTTTGACGAATGTCACAGTTAAAATTTCTTTTGTCCACTTATAATTTTAAAATTATTTTATAATAATAAAATAAAAATACAAGTTGTTGCTTTTTTGTCACAATAGGTTCACCATATTGCTGATAAGATGGAACAAGTGATGGACCTAAGGACACCAAGACTCAAAATTTATATTTAACCTACAATAAATTCAAGTTTTGAATTTATATGTTTTGTTATATTGGAGGATTTTTTATTGATAAATTTCATAGATCACTCATAGATAAAATAGACAAATAAACAGCCATCTTAAATCATTTATTATTGATAATCACTCTCACTCTCTGCACTCTTTGAGAGACTTCTTTTGTTACTGGATCTTGCAATTTCTTTGATAACCATTCCATATTGGTTTTAGTAAGAATTTGTAAGATTTTTGTTGAGTAGTGATAAATTGAATCATTTATTCAACAGTCGTGAGTGGATTTTGAATAGTTTGGGCCGTTTTGGGCGCGTATGTGGATTCAACGTCAGTCGTCTCAGTGTCAGTGCCTATGTACATCAATATTGTCAATAGTGATTAACTTCAAAATTCTAAAAGCGTGAAATAGTGCTGCAGGTTTCGAAACGAAAGAGTAGCATAGGTGTCGTGTTGACGATTTTTTTATCAAGGGAACATTTTGGTCGTTGTGGTTGATGCGATTGAAACATAAAACGTTGACAATGGATCTAAGTATTCTTGAGTGAAGGTCAGGATTCTGAGGAGAGAATGTTTGGATGAACCCATTAGTTCGTATATACGAATTTGTTTCAATATTAACTTGTGTATGAATATTTAGTTGTTTGTAATCTTTCCCGTCTGATAGACCAACCAAATTTAATGTAAAATATTATTGAATATTTTTCAAAGCAATCTATCTTTGTATTGAGTTTGCCAAATTTTATAAAACGTTTTTAGCAATTAATGAATTTTTCTTTTCGCGTCTGATAGACCAACCTAGTGAGGCGTACCACAATGACCGTCAACGACCAAATTACATGTTCACAACCTTCCAGACCACACAGAAAAATTTTACAATATTTTAAATATGCTAAAATTCCGTTTAAAAAATATCATTTTATCCTAGCATAATAAACAAAATTTTAAAACATATTTGCTCGTGTGTTACAATTCTCTGTTGTCGAGATAAATCAATATAAAAGAAGCAAATTTCGTTGAATGCACGTTCAGTTATATTTCGTAAAAATTGAGAAGGAATCTTTTTCGGAAAGATAAGGTAATCCACTGTTTTGTCTTTATCGACGGATTGGCCAAGGTCCGTTAATCTTATGAATTGAAAACACAAGCCGAATATCCTTCGTCAGTCCCGGTTCAGATTAGAAACAGGACTGACGTCCGGATATCGGCGAATCGACAAAACTACACGATAAAATTATAAATTTAAATTAAAATCTTCTCCTAATAAAATATTTAAAAAATGATTTATTTCAAAGTGTTATCGATGGCGTTGCTTTTGTCAATCGCCGTTTTATATTCTTCCTGGTTGATGCAGCGTGTAATATACGTAATATGGGCGATCATGCTCACGAGGGCAATGAGGGCCAGGAGATTTTGGATGTTGCATCATTTTCAAGAAATGCAAAGGCATTGGCTCTACCCCTGACTCTATCGGCTCAGAATTTGACATAGATTTTTTAAACCATCGCCATATTTTATCCCATCCATCATTAAAATGTCATCCTTTGCAGGTGAACCGATGAACTGGAACGCCGTCCCGCCGATCTGCAGAATTTATTTGATTTTACTATATTCGAACTTGCACGAAAGTTTTAAGCACACGTTCTTCAAAGGTACACAATTGGAGACTTGCTATTTTAACAAGAGGATATTGATTTTTTATGACTAACACCCTAAGTCAAAATTAATGCGTTTTTTATTTGCAATTACTAACTTATAAACTATATTATGTACGTTTGAAAAGCATGGTTTAAGAAATAATAACTCAAAAATAATATTTTTACGTGCATGTTTTTTTCTTTAAGACAAAAAATATAATAATAAAAAATAATATATAAAAATATTTAAAAAGACTTCTTCCATAAAAAAGTAAAGTAAAGTAAAACAAATATTTTTAAATTTATTGAAGCTATTATTGCGTCATACAAGGCTGATCATAACAGCCAGACTTGGAATCAGCAATTCTGTGTTTTCTTAACTTTTGAGATCACTAGTTTAAACCTGTTTATCAGTTAACTTTCATTGTAAATATCAGGTCCAAAAGTGATGTGTGAAGATTCAAAATTTTATATTTACACGAAAAAGCCGCTGAGATAATTGTTTTTACTTTTCACAATCAGCTCTTCTGACATGACTTCCTTTATTAATTTTATTTGTAATATTCTAATATCCGATTAAAAAGCTATTTAGTTATTAAAGACTGTCGTTGTTCACAAAACACGAGTGTAGTGAAAATTTTTCAGTTGAAATATTTTAAAACTAGAAATGTAACAAGAATATATTAATTTGCAACAATCTGACAACAATTGATATTATGGTAAAAAATTCATTTCCCATTATATTATTATAATTTTTGTCACATAGGAGGTCTTAACAACCAACCATATTCTCCATATTATTCAACATTAAAGTAATAAAAAAAAAGAAACAAAACTTAGGATGTACCGTGAACAGACGTCAATACTTCGAGGGAAATCGAAAGCACGACAATACGCTCAACCCTAACGTCCATGTTCAGGGTCCCCTTCATTTAGTGTAATTTTTCTTATCACTAACCGGCCGGGAGGATGTAAACAGCAACGTCGTCAAATATGCTAAATTTAGGTAAGCTATGTTAGGGAAGTCGTTTAGGCAGATAAAGAATAGCGTAGGGGCTAATAGCAACCGCAATGATACCACGGCCGTTGCGCTATGGCCAGTCTTCCATTTTCAATGTTGACTACAATGTCGGTTTTTCAAGTATGAGACATTATTATTGAATAAGGAAGTTGCAAGTAAAAGTCTTATCAGGCTGCATGACTCTGAATCCGAACTATTCAGGCATTCACCTTCTGTTCCAAGAATCTTCTTAGGGCGTGTATCAATTATTTTTCTAAGCTTATAGGCTCATAGTTCCGAAGTTCCTTCGGGGTTTTTTCCGGGCTTTAACGATTTTCATTGTTGTAGGCAACCATAAAGGTTAAAATTTGCCAGATACATACCTGTTTTTATTTTTTATCTTTTTTATTTGTTAATATTTTTTATTTTTTTAAACAATAAAACATTTTTATTTGTTATAATTGATAACATTTTAAAATATCAGAATTTAAATAAATAAATAAATAAAACGCAAAATTCAAAAAGAAAGCAATTTAGTTGCTACTGCCAAGCTTTCGATTTATTTTAAAGTCATCATCAGGGCAAAGCAACCTTAAATTTGTCTACAGATTAACATATTTATGTTTTTACAGAACTTCTCCAATTTCCTTGAAGACCGACTCAGTCTCAACATTACCATACCAGTTTACATAACACTGAAACTGAACTCATCACAATTTAGTACAAATCTAACAGCCAACGGTTATAAAGGGAAACAGACAGTCCTAGAAATGAATGGAAAAGGAATCGAAAATAAATTATTCTAGTAAATTTTGAAAATAAAAGAATTTAAAGACACCTCCTATCAAATCTACTAACCACGTCTTTAACACAGGTCTTTACTATTTTTTTTTTGGTATTATTGAGAATATAATCATGGATAATAGTAATAGATTAACGATTTTAAAGAACTGAGCATTTATTTATATTTAAAGTAAGACAGCTTACCAAAAGATTGCTGCGAAGGAAAGTATAATTTTAAAAAGATATACATTTTTAGATTATCGACGGCAAAAATGGTGTAGTAGAACGGACTTAAAGTCATTGAAAATAACATAGGAACTAAGCATGATCCTTGTGGCACTCCATTTATAATAAAAACAGCATTTTGAAGTAGAAGTTTACCAGAGGTGCCATCTACTCCATAAAATATGTGAAAGATATATTCCACCCTTATCTTTTGGAACATTTGACGAATCCCCGTTCTATTAAAAAATTTTTATGTAAAATTGGTTTTTGAGAAAGACAGTATGATATTTAAGTAAAGATTGAGAGATGTTTTACATAGTGAGATTGAGGCTCCTAGGTCATTTACGTGACTCTAACAGGCCCCAGGATGTTTTCTCATTGACATATCTTAGACTTAGTGTCAAACTTCAGAAAATTAGGATTTAGGATGTGGCCGATGTTTATGGAACACTCGAATACAGCATCATGAATCAAGAGTCAAATTTTATTAATTGAAAATGTAATGATATTTTCCACGATTTCTCGACAATTAAGTCCTTAATAGTCGCAAGAAACAATTTGTTTAATAGTGGGTAAATTTGAATTAAATAGCTCAACGCCTTAGAGGTTTGTTGAACTCGCAAAGCCGGAAAGATAAGCGAGTGAATGCGGACAGTTCAGAGCAACCGGGACAATTTTTTCCAACTTTTCTACCACTTGAGCTATCGTGACCTCGATCCACTCGGACACTAACTTCCCATCTCAACCCCACCTTTTTGAATTTTCCCTTCTTTTTGCCATATTCACGATTGCTCAAGTGGTAGAGCAGCGGCGTATCTAGCCGAAGATCGTGGGTTCGAATCCCGCTCGTGACACTGACTTTTTATCTCAACTAGAAACCTTAATCAATTGAAAGATATTAATTGGTCAAACGTAAAAGCTGCTGCATTTTGTATGTAAATCTATAATTTAAATCGGTGTTGCTCCTTACTATATTTGATGTGATAAGAAGGATCCCTGGTCGTTTTTTAAGTCAATTTAGGTGTTGTTAATCGATTAAGCGTTTTACGAGGTGTCCTCAAACGTCTGAAGTCATTCAGTGTCTTGTTTTGTCCATAATTTGATAACAAGCTTTGCTTGAGAAGGGTTTCTGTCCATAAGTGTACAATCTACAGAAATATAGAAATACGTATGAAGCAGCATGATATAGATCTATGCTATCCATCATAGTTTAGTCTGATACTTTGGGTCCGTTGGGGCATCCAGCATTTGTATAGTAATTTACGATCCACAGCATAGGATCACAAAAACAGTGGCACGATTCCTTTGACATACAGCGGGAGATGCATTTGTGACTCGATTCCATTTCTTTCCATGTTACTCTCTAAGTCGCTTTGAGGGGACGTTCGGTCTCTTTTACGCGACAAGGACATCAGACATCAACAGGAAAACAAAATGGGTTTGTTTCTCAAACAAAAATATGGTCAGTCTTTAAGTAATCATAAAATATCTAGACGTTAGGCATTAACATAACCTTCCATTTAACAAAACTTAGGAAGAAACACCGTTACTGAGAGTTCGTCAACTGTACCCAGTAAAGACACTTTCATTACAAAACACAAAGTAATCGGATATTCATAATGTAAGTAAATAACAGAGCCGATCCAAACCCTCCCAGTAAACTCCGTGGTTTGGGTATCGTATGGAATATTAACGGACAGACAAGACTGAAAAGAAAAAAGATCTGCTTAAAGCGATTATCAGTCTTTTCTGCATCTGACAGTTTTTTGTTGTTGTTGTTTTTTCAACAATTGAATCCGAGTACTAGAAATATTTTTAAAAAGATTGAAATCATCTTTGATAGCTTCCGAAGATTATCTGAAGTATCAACAGGAATTTTCATTTTCGTTTTATTTCTTCTCTCTTCTTTTCCTTTGACTTCCTATGCTTTCTGATGCGAATCGTTCAAGTTCCTCTTAGTTTTGGTAGCCGATTTTGATCCTTTTTTGTCGGGGCAATTTGTTTTGTCTCCGATGTCATGGTGTTACAAAAAATCGTAACCCCTTTAGGACGTTATTACAACCGTTGGAAGATTGAATATCTCTTTTAGCCTATACCAAAAACCTTTAGATCTATGCCATGGTGGGGTAAATGAGGATGAAATCAACAAAAACTAAAACTTTATAACTTACATCTCCAATTCTAATGTATGTTTAGAAGGCCAAATTTAATCCATTTTGTGCGGTGTATTAAGCTCTAAACCCCAGTAAAGTATTCATTAGATCATTTAAAAGTTGTTAGTATATTTATGGGTTCTGAAAAAATTAAAGACACCGGGGAGACGAAAAATTGGAGAAGAAACATATTTTTTGATTTTCCCAAAAAATTGTATTCCTTTTTTAGGGTCTTAAAAAGGAATATCAGTTTTGTTTCTTGACATAAAAATATTTTAACCTATATTGTTACTTCGTTCACCATGTCAAAATTGCATATAGCAGCCACCCGATGGGTACGTAATGATGATATACAAACGATAACTTATGGGCGTCGATACATAATTTGTAGTCTGCCTTATTTTTAGTATAAAATAACTTTTTTTCTGGTTAAGGCGTAATCTGTTCCCAACTGCTCCTAGAGTGATTTAACTATTAATTTCAATATGAAGAGGTAAGAGGCATATTTTGAATTGCATCCGTACGTTCGTCAATGCTACATTCCAGCTTAGTACAAAGAAAGTTCCATCGAAATACGTGTCACTCCTTGGTTAGTCACTGTTTGTAAAGGCCCGTTTCTCCTGCCGGCCCAGGTCCGTACGATTCCGTGAAAAATGATGCAGGACCAAGCATCCGTCCCTTTGTCATCCAGTTCTGACGCCTGGGATAATCCAGACAAAGCAATGATTTTCTAAAAGAGGAATTCAATATATTTACAAAAAATCCTTTCTAGTGTGGGAATAGGGGCTTATTAGCCAGCTTCCTGTCCGACAAATTAACCGGATACTGACTGTTTTATAACTTTTGTTAGCCGA